AGCCTCCGATGCATTTCGTGAATCTCGCGACTTATGGTAAACATGGCAAACATTGTGAATGGACACACCGATGAAGAAGCACTGTTGATAACTGCAAATGACATTGCTTACGCACCTTTTTCTTTAATTGCCAACCCACGAGATCAAAGATTGCACATAGACATACAAATCAATTGCACTACATACAATGTGCACTAGTCGATTCAAGAGCAAAGTGCTGTACTTGTTAGCAAACCAGGGTTCGGGTTTTAGGGTTTTGCTAGCACTATCTGATGCAAAAGTACAACGTATAGGATCCATAGAAATGTGATATAAACTACGGCTGTAAAAAAACATCAAACTGCTTTGAGGTACTCGACCTCCCCAACAAGAAATCACCAATACACTTATTTATAGATATTCTACCATACTTGGGCATATATCTAGCGGGGATAGCAAAGACGTTTCACCACTATTTCACAAACATACATGCGCCAGGCAAAGACAACCAAGTTGCTGACATGCTATCACGATTGCACGAAGACACCTTCAACATCAAAACATTAAATGTGTTGAAGGAAGCCAACGAGCATACACACAATGGTCAAAAATACACTGACTTTGAAATAAACATGCACATCCTGGTATTTGCCATAAACTGAAAACTACATTCACGATTCTACAAAGAAGCAGAACGCAGGTTCGAAAAATTCACCATCGAAATATTTGCAGCGGAACACAAATGCATATAGAGCAAAGCTCTACACCAAATAATAGATTGCATTACTACAAATGTGGGCAGATGAAATAACCGCATGGGCGAATCCTCCCTGGGAGCTGAAAATGCCATAGAGGAAGCCGCGAGCATCACAATATTTGTACCCTACTATCGAAATGCAACGTGGTTCCCAAAACTCCTGTTGCTGCTAGAAGATGACCCGATGACCGTTGAAAACATGAACAACAAGTTCCTGAACGAGGGCAAGGGCAAAGCACCATGGGGTGTCACACTAGTAGCCAAGATAGGC